AAAAAAAAAAAAAGAAAAAAAAAAATTTTTTTTTTTTTCCCCCACCCCCCCTCTCCCCCCCCCCCCCCCCCCCCCCCCCCGCTCACAGCAATAGACTTATTATACGGTGGGATATATTGTTTTGTGTGTCAAGACTACATATACGACAAAGACATGGAGCAGATTGCCAAAGAAGAACAGAGGAAATCCTGGAAATTGCAAGGTGAAGCATTTAGTTTTCTCTCCGAAGGAACTCAATAATGCAGCTTTCTGTAAAAACGAGGCCGTCACATTCGTGTTTCTTTTTGAATCCACAGGCATCGGGGAGAAATACACAACGTGGGAGCCGACCAAGAGGGAGCTAGAATTATTACGACACAATCCAAAGCGGAGGAAAATCACTACAAACTGCACCATAGGTTAGCAATGGGCCTCACTGTTTAGTCTGCACTGCTGTTTATAGCTAGACTGTGTGTGTGTGTCTGTCTACATGTTCCAATAGTGTACTTGCGGTCACCCTCGTGTTTAAGTGCGAATACCCAAGGTCGGTAAGACCGGGCAACCCCACAGGCACCGAGGGAGACGGAACACGGCGTTCCCTCGCTGATACTGTAGGTGCACACACCGTGTCTCCCCAGACATTGTTATGCCTCTACAGGGACCTAATGTTTTGGGGTTGTCAGTCTGTCCGGTCTATCTCGGGTATGCCTGAGAGGGATTTCTTTCAAATTTGGCTCAACCGTCCACCCGGACTCGAGGATTACCTATGCTAATTATGACAATTTCACACAAATTTCTAATAATAGGATAAAAATAATGAAGTGATGACATTTTGGACAGACATAAACCTACAAACTCGACTGGTTGGCGGAGGCATCCAACCGCTAGGCGTTAATTCAATCATTTTTCTTTCATTTCTTCCTGCCATCTCTCTGTTGTGTCTCTGATTGTTTTACATGTGCTTTTGCTGTTTTTATCTTTCCCTTTGCCCACTGCCTCCCTGCCAAATAGTTTGCCTTATGAAATGTCAGAAAATAGTAAAAAAAAAAAAAAAAAAGTTTAATCTTTGTTTTCGTGTGTCTCTCATGCTTTTCTTTGTCTCCTTTTTGTCCTGCAGGTTTACGAGGGTTAATAAACCTGGGCAACACATGTTTCATGAACTGCATTGTTCAGGCCCTAACACACACACCGCTGCTGCGAGACTTCTTTCTCTCCGACAGACACAAGTGCGAGATGCAATCAAACTCCTGTCTGGTGTGTGAGATGTCGCAGCTCTTTCAGGAGGTATGGTGCAAAATCTGCGTGTCTGAACTTGTTGCATAGGTTCGTTAAATCCCACGAAAGAAAGGAAGAACGTCTGATTTTGGTTAAAACTGAGCCATAATTTCAGAGTTTTTTTTTTTTTTGTTTTTTTTTAGCAACCGTATGATACAGAATGTTCTCTTGCAGTGTAAGCCACTGCAGAACGCTGAGTCACTGTTCAGCTCTTTTGTCAAGTCCAAAGAGGGAGGCAGAGAGGAGCGAAACATTCCTGCCTGAAAGGAATGCACAGAGCCACATGCAAATGAATACGCAGAAAGCCGTAATTATATATATTTTATTGAACCTGGTCAGTCAATGCGAATTATGTTGCACAGCCATCTATAGCCTCTTAATCCCATCTCTTTCATACAAAAGTTTGGCTTTTTAACATCCAACAAACACCATCGGCCCTTGACATTATGTAATATCTGCTCCCACACTGCCTCGCTTTTTTCTTCCACACTCCCACATCCCAGTATATATGGCTCCACAGATGGTGCTATAAGGAGTTGAGTCATCACCAAACCTCCCTTCCACAACATATACACGGAGCCTTGCCCCGTCTCAGTTGGCTGAACCATTCAGCTACATAACACATGGAGGAGGTAATCGCTCACCTCTATCGCCAGGGAGGCAGGCGTCGACTGAGTATTCAGCTGGAAATTCAGGATCAGTCATACAACAAAAATCGATTTAAACGTACCCTAACACACAAACGGTATCACTCCCAAGTTTTTCTACCTCCACGCCTTGTCCTCAACTCTCTAATTTCCATCCCCTACCTTCATTCTATTTCAACCCACCTCCATATCTTTATCAAAAGCTGCCGTCTTCTGAATCTGCAGACACACACACACACACTCAGAGCGTTTTAGATGTGAAGGTGAGAGGCGTGGCCCCGGCCTGCTTTGATCAGCCTCTCTCTCCAGTTTCCTCCTCTTCTCGTAGCATCGTTTGTTTGTCAACCGCCTTCAAACTGCCGAAAAGGAGTTTGTAAGATTCAAAAGAGGCTTCAGCGCGGCATGTTTAATGTCCCCTTCTCACAACTCGATCAGATTTCCGACAGAGCTGTGGAGATTAAAGCGAAGTGTGTGCAACATCTACGTGTCAAGACATGAGAGAGCCTTCTCTGGCATTAATGAGCTCTGGTTGGAGCTCCACTGTATTGTTCGCACCCTAATAACTCTTGCGCTCCGCTCATCTCTGACCTGGATTGTCACTCACTCGACTCCAACCTCTTCCCCGTCTTGCACATCGCACCTCTCCTCTCTACGGACGTGCTGCCAGGCGGCATATATTACGGAATTCATTCACATCTGACGAGGCCTGTAGAAAGTCGCTGCTAAAGGAGTCAGAAAGACACTTTGACTGACAGCCCCACAAGTGTTATATGCTTCAGCAATGAATTATAGATGACAGTGTGCAATGCAGCTATGAGGTTGGCATAGAGGTGATAAAATATATATTCGCCTGGAAAAATAGGCTAACCCCCCCACTCCTCTTCACACACCCCCCCCCCCCCCGCTACCTCTCATCTTTCTTCCCTGCTCTCAGTTCTACTCGGGCCACCGTTCGCCCCACATTCCCTTCCGGCTGCTGCACCTGGTGTGGACTCACGCGCGTCACCTCGCAGGCTACGAGCAGCAAGACGCCCACGAGTTCCTCATCGCAGCATTGGATGTACTACACAGGCACTGCAAAGGGGACACCATCAGTAAGCCAAACAAACACTAGTGTGTTGTCTTTAAATACAGTAAGATTGGAGGGTTTTACTTCAGATTTTTTTTTTTTCTCGAATATTTTCTGTCAGGCCAGGATTGCCGCTTGTTCAAGTCGGACTGAATGGGAAAACGCAACACAAAGAGCAGTGTGTCAGTTGAGATTGAGAGGAGTGTGTCTGGGCCACCTACTGCCTCTGATCCGGCATGTGGAGTTATACCTTAGATCTACCCGCAGAGCACACAGTGCCTTACTTCCCTGGAAGCGTACTGAAGGAGACTGGCAATGGTGTGTACCAAAGGGACAGGAAGCAAGCAGTGTGAGGAATGTCAATAGGCCCCGCTGCAGTTCAATGGCAGGCTGACTCGCCCACAGACCCCGCAGTAAGGTTTGTTTCGATTATCTTAGAATCCAGAGAGTTGTGAAGTAGCAGAGAGGCTCAGCTGCAGGGGGATGGTGAAGTGAGAAACAGGGCCGTGCAGAGTCCTTCAGAGGTGCTAAACAGGTTGTAGGTGTTACCTGTGTGTCTATTTATACTTTCTGCTCTTTGTGGTCCCGCAGGAGACGACAACGGCAAGAAGGCCAACAATCCAAACCACTGTAACTGCATCATTGACCAAATCTTCACCGGGGGCCTGCAATCAGATGTTACCTGTCAAGTTTGCCAGTAAGTTGTCTGTGTCTTGTGTGTTTGCGACTTTAAAAAGTGTAAAGAACCAAAATAAAGTCCCATCTGAGAGGTTTTCTTTCCCATTAACTTGACGGAGCATCACGTCACCACCAAAAACCCCTCCTTCCTCTTTCCCCACATTCACTCATTCATTCATCATCCGTCTATCCTTGTTGTCCCTCCGATTGCGTAGTCGCCCCTCACCGCCGGGCTGATCGATGTGGACGTCACCTGTCCTCCCAGAGTGGCTGAACCACTGGTTGTGTCCTCTCCACTGCTCTCTTTTAGAGGCCCCGGTCCGTGCAGAGCTGCTGTAAGAGGGGGTTGTCTAGACGGCGGCACAACCCGAGCGTTGCCTGCCTGCCCCCCTTAGAGCTGTCCTGTCACATTAACACTAACACGCTGCACTGAACTGCAAAGCACCTCGCCCTGGCTAGCAGGCAAGCCGAGCCCAGCTCTGTGCCATGTTACCTGCCTCCACAGCGGAAAGGGAAAGACTGCTGATGCAGAGCTGGTGATGCTGCCTTGAGTATCATTCTGCCATAAACTCCCCTGTAATCATTACACAGGTCCCCTGTTGACCACAGATGACTTATGGGTAAGCGTTCAGCAACAGAAATGCATTCCCCCCCCAAGGCTTTTTTTTTTTTTTTTTTTTTTTTTTTTTTGTTGACAAAAATGGAGCCCTAACGGTGCCATATATTACTGCTCAGTCGCTCTCTTACCCACCATAAATGCATGCCTACTTGCCTTAATGGCCACCTGCTGGTACCACGGGGTGTTGCAGCACCATGACTCATCTAATGTGCGGCCCTGTGCGCATATATTTGTGTATACTGCATGCATTCTACACTGAAAGCCTCCATTTTGCCCGGGCTGCAGTCCATCACAGCCGTCGGGCTGTAATAATACAAATTCCTTATGTAAAGCCAATCTTCTCTGATGTAACACTTCATTGAATTGCAAATGGACCTGGAAGAAGAACAGCGTGTATATTATGCACATGCACAGCAGGCTTAAACACAAACATGATCGGAATATACAGCGGCTGTGTGAATTTCAGCTTGTGTATTGCCATCTGTGTCATCATCCTTTCATCATGGCCTGTAATAAATGACACACAATCACGCACTATTTATTCAACCTCACAATCCAACTCCCTTCTCCCTTTTTTTCCTCTAGTGGTGTGTCCACAACGATAGATCCATTCTGGGACATCAGTCTGGACCTTCCTGGCTCATCCACGCCTTTCTGGCCCCTCAGCCCCGGAGGTGATGGCAGCACAGTGAACGGAGAGAGCCACCTGTCGGGGTCCACCACTCTCACAGACTGCCTACGCAGGTACCACTTCAGTCTCAGCTGACAACAGACAGGTTGCCTGTCAGGTTCTCTTTTCTTCGGGGTTTTTTTTTTTTTTTGTATCTATCTAAACTAAACTAAATTCCCTGTCATGTAGGTTGTAGAATATTCAATGGTGCTAAATCAGAGTCGCTTCTTACCAAAAACACGCTGCCTTACTGCTAGCTGTGCTCAGATTGAAAATGAACGACGTTTATAACGCAAGGAAAAGGAGGTACTGTCACTCTACTTTTTTTTTTTTTCTTCTTCAATAGGCTTATTGTCCTTTATCCCTTCTGCCACCTCTCCAAAAATCCTGGGTATCAATCGTCTCCCAATACATTTTATTCATCTCCCAACTTGTCTGAGGGGGTCACACATTGTGTGGCACAGCAGCCCTGTTATCACTGGATCTCATCTTCCACCATCACCAGGTTGGCAGATGTGACCTCTCATATCTCCTCTACTGCCTCTTCATTCTTGCAATTTATTTTCCTCTTTTCCTTATCTCATCTCATTCCCTCTCCTCTCCACCTAATTCCCTTTTCCCCGCTTGTGCCCTCACCCTCTACCTCCTCGTATTCGTCTCATCCTCCCCCTCCTCTTTCTCTCGCCTCCTTTCCTTCTGACTTTTTTTTTTTACCGCAGCACCTCACACACCCCTAGTTGCTGCAGCAAGTCTCTTAAAGGTACAGGACCGGTTGGTGCTGTTGCCGTGGTGATAGAGGCGTTGGAGTTACCAGCAGGGGTCTTGGGTTGGGTGGGCTCACACACACAGCGGCTGCACCAAAGCTCTGCATGCAGGACATGTAGGACTAGAGCCAGGTGTTGCGTGGTCAAAGGTTTATATTTGTGTAATATGAACCAGATAAATAAACCAGAGTAGTTTTCTTCTTTTTTTTTTTTCTTTTTTTTTTTTGTGCCAGTTTTCACTTCCTGTTTTGCTTTCACAACCTCTCTTCTTCTCTCCCTCCCTCCCTCCCTCCCTCTGCAGGTTTACGCGACCCGAGCATCTAGGAAGCAGTGCCAAAATCAAGTGCGGCGGTTGCCATAGTTACCAGGAGTCCACCAAACAGCTGACGATGAAGAAGCTCCCCATCGTAGCGTGTTTCCACCTCAAAGTGAGTCAGACAGTGACGACGTGCTGCCCAGGTATCTTTTTACATTACCTGTCACCTATCTTGACAATTTCGATTATTTAAGGGTAAGCTTTTATCTTTCACACGTCTAATGTTGTCATCGCTCCAAAAAACAGCAGATGAAGCAGCGCCTCGTACATAAGGCTGTGTGATGTGGCTCAAAACCATCATCCAAATGCACATACTGCAATATATTTACATGCTGTAATACATGGTCCATCCTGTGTGTGTGTGTGTGTGTGCAGCCTCACATCTGATTTCGGCAAAGTTCAGATTTTGCAGAGACTTGGCTGTCTTGTGCGTAGGCGTGTTCATAATTCGATTCAGTTGTTGGTGCATTACCTTCTACTGTGCATCGCTTTCACACACTGTCCCAGGACACCTACGACTTGTACTGTCCTCATCTGTCCATGTTTTATTAATCATAACAGTATTGGGGGGGGGGCTATAATGTATTTATGATATTCATAGGAACAGGCTCCAGACGATTGTCTAAGATCAATCCAAGTCCTGCTATTGTCTTGTTATGAATGTTTCACTTTTCACTTCCTTTTTTTTGTGATTTGTATGTCTTGTAATGATGCCTGTTGTTTCTAAACGTGTCTTCTCCATGTTTCTGCCCCTTCCCCCTCTCTCTCCCTCCCTCTCTGGCCAACTCCAGCGGTTTGAGCACTCTGCGAAACTGCGGAGAAAGATCACTACATACGTTTCCTTCCCCCTAGAGTTGGACATGACGCCCTTCATGGCATCCAGGTAAGCCTCGAGTAGGCCCCACAGCTTTTTCTCCCCATATAGTGAGTCTTCACATCCAGGTATTTAAGAAAAAGAATAAACCTTTAGCAGCTTATTTAAGTGTTTTATTACATCGTAATGTTTGAACATACATCCTGTATGATACACTTTACATTACGTGTACTCAAAGTAAATGCACACATCTGCATCTTCGTCTGCAGCCAAAAAACTGCATCGTTAATTGCTCCCTAAAATATATATTGATGTCAGTGAAGCATTCAGCAGCAGTGTTGCCCCACCCCTGGCTGAAGCATCCATTCAGCTCTGTTCAGAGACAGTAACATCATTAGAGGCACAGGCAGGGAAGATATCTGCTTTCATAGACGGGCTCATTCTGCCACCTAGTGGCTTCATGTGCCAGTGTAGCGTGTTTACCCAAACTTAAGACATGTTAATGTGTTGCTATTCTTTTTCTGTCTCCCACAGTAAAGAGAGCAGAATGAACGGGCAGTATCAACAGACGGTTGATGTATTAAACAACGACAATAAGTGAGTACCTTGCAGAGTGATTTATTCACACAGCAGCACTGACATCATTGCACATGCTAATGACCTGAAGCATCTGGCTGTGACTTCCCCAAATTAAATCAATTTGAAGCCAATTAAAAGCTGCTTAGTTTTCCTCATCCATGACAGTTACAATAGCTTTCATTTTCCAGGACGGTCACAGGGAATTTACCGTCCTAATACCATTGACGGGTTGCTTGTAGTAGAGATTAGAGTCAGTTTGCAAGGCTCCTTGATGATGCCTCTTGTACACAAGAAAGACCTAATAGAGCAACAGTTTGTGGAGTTTAAGGCAAATAAAGGCGCCCATGTATGGGGAGGATAATGGGGCTTATGGTGTAAAAGGTGCGATGTGTACGATGTCGCTCCAAACAAACAGGCACCTCAAGGAATGCAAACTTGTCACCATCGGCAAAATTCAGCATTTTGAATCCTACGTGATTTAGGCAAATCCGATTCACAACAAGCAGATTGCCGTGCATGTCAATTTCACTATGGCGAGCGCAAATGAAACTGACCTTAAGCTAGCAGTTAGCTGTAGCAACTTCCGGAGCTGCCGCACACTCTCCTCTTGGCAAAGTAGTATCCTGGTTGCAAGGAGGACGAAACGAAAATACGAGTGGTTTTCTTGTTTCTGCTTCTTTGGATTGAATCCATTAAACAACCGCGGACTATGTACCTTCACCGTGAAGGTGTGAATTAGTTAATTCATCTTTTTGAAAGTTTTAAACTAAAACTCTGGCCAGATCTTACACATCTGGCCAGAGTTTTTTTTTTTTTTTGTTTTTTTTTAAAGCGAAGTCTGACAACAGAACGGAGACAATTTCACGTCTCTCGGTCTATTTCTAGGTATTCCTTGTTCGCTGTGGTCAACCACCAAGGCACATTAGAGAGTGGCCACTACACCAGCTTCATCCGCCAGCACAAAGACCAGTGGTTCAAATGTGATGATGCTATAATCACCAAGGCCAGCATTAAGGATGTACTCGATAGTGAAGGGTAAGAATGGAAACAAAGACATTAGCAGCTCTACAATATCATACAGTATGAAATCTCAATCGGATGTTTCTATTTTGTCACCCCTCAGGTATCTCTTATTCTACCATAAACAGTTCCTCGAGTACGAGTAGTCTTTGTGACCACCGACCGCGAAGAACCACAGCTTCTAACGAGAGAGTCAAGGGCCCCGGGGGGACAGGATGAAACACAAACACACAAACCTACCTGAAACTCTATGACTACCAGTCTTTGCTCCTCCAGCTGTGGAGGACAAAAACAAAAAGACGTGTGAGATCATGCAACCTTTCAAAAGAAAAGAAAAAACACACAAAAAAAAAAGCACTGAGCTACTTCTTGGCATCTACTTGACAAAACTGAATGAAGAGCAGAGATGGAGGAAGAGAGGAAGAGGCCCACCCCCCCCCCCCCCCCCACACACACACACACACACACACACACACACACACTTCATTTCTCTCCCATGGTGCTCTCGTTTCAACTGACCAAGCATTTTACTTGATGGAAGACAGTTTCTGTCATATGCATATGGAACTGAACACACAAAATAAGAACAAGAATAGAATCGTGAGGAACTTCTTATGAACTTTGCAAATGGACATTTTTTTTTTTTAAAGGTATGGTTATGATTCTTATCATTTGTGAATTTTTGTTATGAAATACTGTATGAATAATAGTATACATCTATTTTTTAAAGAGCAAAAAAAAAAAAAAAGAAGAAGAAAACATGGGAGAGCTTAGAGACGCTGCCTTTGCCAGTTGCTGGGGAAGTGCTGCCATGGAAACTAAGCAGATTTGGACCCGAGTGTGCTCATGTTCATTATATATTGTGTTGATTGTTTTATTTTTACGTCTGGTTGAGGGCAGGGAATATCTATTTTTTTTAGCAACTCATTCAATTTTTGTTTACCGCTCTTTTCAGTGTCTTTTATCTTTTTTTCAGTACAGTCACGTGTCCCTCGCTGTCCTGGTACTGGAAATGTTTGTTTTTTTTTGGACGTATTATACTTTCATTCTTGTGGAATTGTTGGTATGGTGATGGTTAAATTGGCTCACATTTGCTGTTTATGAATTTGTATGTTGAATGTGAGCTTTGGGTTTCATACGGCATTCTGAAGAGAAGACTTGATACATGAGGTCCTGTACTATGTGAGACTGTTGTGGTCTCTCTAGAACACCTTGAATGCTCTGTGCAACAAAAAAAAAAAAAAGACGACAAAAAGCCCGTTTAACAACACTGCATGCGACCGGGCTCTCATGATCTTATAAGATGTGAAATATTGCCCTCAGTAATGCCTCGAGGCCTGCTGCCCATCATGATTTTTGTTCTGGGAGGGTGATCATGTGACATGTATAGAGGGTGAACCGTATTGCACGTGTACGGGCGCTGTGCTACCACAGCCTGGCTCTGAATCCATCAGTGTTAATCTTCTCCATGGCAACTGTGTGGCTGGTGTCGAGCGGTGTGGTGCGTCTTGCCTCTGCAGTGCAGTAAACCCAGTGCTCTATTCAATCAGTATGCTGTCAGACTTTAGATAATGCACATACACATCAGGGTGTTGTGGTCTGTTTTGTTTGAATATCACTGATTGTGTATGTATTAAAAAAAAAAAAAAAAAAAAAAAAAATACTGAATAAAAAAAATAAAATATTCACTCATGTATAAGATGAGGGCCCTAACCTATCACAGTAATGCCACATTAAAAACAAAACAACAAAAAAAACACAACCCCTGGTTGTTTAGCTGCTCTGTGATTGAGAACAAACATGCATATCCTTCGGTCTGCTGCAGAACCTCAGCTAGAGGGCAACAGCGGGGTTTTTTTTTTTTGTTTTTTTTTTTTCGAAACCGTGAAATCAAAGACTTGTGAAATGGTCGCACTTTGGTTTTGGTGTATCATGGAGCAGTTTAAGGCCACCCGAGGACTTTCAGGGACGCAGCTGAAACGAGAAGGAAGAGGAGAGCTTCATTATCTGTTTCAGTGATTAAACTCAGAACAAAACTGGAGTGTGTATATGTTCTGTCTTTTGTCTCGTTCCTTCGTTCACACGTCCCTTCGTGAGGACAGTATGCTGTATGTCCCAGAATGAAAGTACTGTGGTGTATTCCTGTCGGTGTGCACTCATGGACGAACAAGACGGTACTGTAAAGAAAACAAGGTATTTTATTCAATGCAACACACTTGCAAACATGCACACTCACCGTTAAGCTTTCTGTTAAACTCTGTTGTATTTTTGGCCTTAGATCAGCTCTAGTTAGGCGCTTGATTTTGGCGCCACTTTGTGGCCAAACCCGGAAGTTCAGAGGTCTGGGAGAAAAACAATCAAACCTGCCTTCAGGGTTCAATGCAGTGTGGCTATTAGACATATTTAAAGACAGGATATGTAAACATCTTCAATGAGAGAGCCTCACATTAAAATATTTTACATATGTCATACAATTCAAATGTTTAAATGAATGTAAACATCGTGTCTTACCATTTTTAATTAAATATTTTGCATCTTTCCGCATTTCTTTTTCATAAAGAGCATCCCACAATTTTGCACCAAAAATCGACGTTACTTACTTTATTTAGTTTCAGCACAGCTGTACACAATCCATGTTTATTCCATTTAATTGATGTTTCAGTATAATAGAACAGGACAAACTGGAAGAACATACATTATGCAAACTTTCTATGGAAACCGGTAAACTTTAAACAATTTGTAATGTTTTCCAAAGCTCGTGAGACGTTCGTGGAACAAATGCCAAGTAGAAAACCTGCACCGTAGTCTTAAGAAATGCAGGCATGTAAATAAAAAATAAACTGAACATTGTTGTATGAAGTCTTTGCCAGAATCCTAATTATTACAACTGCAACAGCTGGAAGATATTGTATGTAAGGTGTATGGGTTTTTTTCACATGTGCTGGACACAAACAATACGCATCAGGTATGTTTACGTTTGGTTTTTCTTTTTTTTTTTTTTTTTTTTCTTTCTTCACTTATCTAAACAATGTCAACATTCATTATTCATGTCCAGAGTAAATTCATTATGCAAATTAGTGTAACCATGGGACTAACGCTCTTCGTCGCTGTTGCTATGGAAATATAAGACACTAGAGGTGTGTCATGCAATGAGATGTTACAGACCAGGATACAAATTCCATCAGAGAGAGAGTGCGCGCGCACACTTCTGTGTATCATGCGAGACTGACAAATGAAGGAAACAACATGCTTAGAGTGGTTCGTACATATGTCTGTATAGTCACAGGATGGCAGGAGGAACGTTGGACTCCTGAAGCGGCACAGTGTTGACGATTGGGGAACACCAGGGTCTCTTGAGGATAAGTGTTCTAGCCCTCCACAAATTCATGTCACTGAGACACCCGGAGAGAGAAACAGAGGATGGTTCAGTGTCGTCACACAAAGTGTTTACAAGTAGCCTGCAATGCGAGGCAGCATGTGAGAAGCTAATAGAGGAGCAGAGGGGGTGTACAAAACAGTGTTTTCTGTAATAGAGCACAGTGAAACAATAAATTCAACACGTGTTTGAAATGTAATATATTTAAATCCCGTTTATATCCCGGTTCATTACTTCACTACATCCAGTATAGTGACCCATCTGCTTCTTGGGAGCAAAATAATCCTTCGCAAAATATAGTCTGACCAGGTTTTGTGCTCTCAGATGACATAAAAACAGGAAGCTGGGCCCCCTACTCAGCATTCATGTTGAATTATTTAGAGTCGTGCCATTTGGAATTTTTTAACAATAGCAGACAACTGCAAGCAATGACAGCAACATTACTACATGACATACATAAATAATGGTAAATAAGCCATGAAAAAGAACAGTCTGGTAGAAACAGGCATACAATGGCATTGATTTATATAATACAATTCAACATTGTAGTAGTTTTATACATCTCAGCAGCACTTTGGTTGGAGGCTGGCTCGGTATATCGAGCCACCACCGTTAATGTAAAATAAATGATGCATGTAGCTATATCGTAGTAGCAGTGAGTGACACAGGACGAACTATTTGTCACATTTACATTTTCTACATTTCTTCGCAAGTAAAATTAGCCGCACATAAATCAGAATGTTGTACTACAAAACACGAGAATCAATGGCGCTGACATTCATTATGTTCTGCGTCTGAAAAAGAAACAAACATTACTTATTCACAAGTCACATTTATAGGGATCAAAACTAAGTGACACTTTTCACACAGTCTCTTTGCCCATTTTCTGCACAGTTATTTACAGTCAAGAAGAGAAAAATAACTTGCAGACGAGACAGGAACAAAAATAGAGGAATGATAAGGTTGCCAGTTTTACCAACAGCGTGTTGTTTTCCAGCCTATGAGCACACTGTTATAGCGTTATTTTTTTACACAATGCAGGACTGTGGAAACTTGGCACAAGCCCTCTGCTCTGAAACTATGTATGTAATCCTGGGTATCCAGGGAAAATGAACGTCACCCCGGGGACCATTTCAAAGTGGGCGTTAGTGTATCTTCTACCTTACCTCAGAGTCAATACAGGGAGATCAAATACAGCATAGAGCAAACAGTCGCATTAACTTCTGTTTACATTAGAGTAGATTTCGTTACAGCCAGAGAAACCCAACAATGTGTCAAAGGCAGATAGAGGAACAGCGCAGTTTGACAATCTGTTGTCGTTTTGACCTCCTTCCTCTGTGAACCTATTGTTTTATAATGCCCCCTTCCTCTCTGATGTGACCTAGGTGATGCTGATAAGTGCTGACAGTTATTTGTTTCAGATATGTATGAGTGCATGTATGAAAGTCCCATCCCGTTTCTCTCAAATGCTGGTCTGCAGGTCCCCGTTCAGCAGAGTACTTTGGGTCTCCGTGGGGTCATTTATCATACGAGACTTATCCTGGCGGCTATCGCTGCGATCAGTCTCGTCCAGCCCACCCACCTTCTTAATACACAGGACATTCTGGAAACTCTTCTTGAAGTTCTCCGACAGGAAGGCGTAGAGGATGGGGTTGGCGCAGCTGTTGGCGTACCCCAGAACCACCACGAAAGCGAAGGTGCTCCTCAGGATGGGAGTGGTGCTGATGGTTCCCGTCACCGAGGTGACGTTGAAGACGTAGAAAGGCAGCCAGCAGAAGACGAACACAGCCACCACGATGGACACCATCCGAGTCACCTTCCTCTCTGAGCGCTTCCTCTTGGAGGAGCCCACACGGATGCCCGAGGACTTCACCTTAAAGATGATGAACAAGTAGCAAAGGCAGATGACCATGAGGGGCAGGAAGAAGCCCAGGATGAAGGTGTAGAACATGAACGCTGTGTAGTAGGCCTCTTGAGGCTCCGGCCACACGATAGTGCAGAAGCAGCCGTCGTGCTTTGTGATGACTCCGCTGTAGATAACGATGGGCAGGTTGACCATCAGCGACGACCCCCACACTGCCAAGTTGATGGTCTTGGCCATGCGCGGCTTGCGCCACTTTGTGGACTTGATGGGGTGCACCACAGCCAGGTAGCGGTCGATGCTCATGACCATCAGGCAGAAGATGGACGTGAACTGGTTCAGGGAGTCGACGGTCATCACCACCCTGCAGAGCACGGGGCCGAACGGCCAGTGGACCAGCGCCAGCTGGATGGCGATGAACGGCAGGCCCAGCATGAAAAGCACGTCGGCCACCGCCAGGTTGAGGATGTAGATGTTGGTAACCGTCTTCATCTTGGCGTAGCGCAGGATCACGTAGATGACGAGAGTGTTCCCGCAGAGTCCCACGGTGCAAACCAAGAAGTACAAGCAAGTGATGACCACCGTGCTGGTTGTATTGAAGCTGTGGTCCGTGTAGTTTCCATGGAGGTCGGACTCGTTGCCCTGCATGATGCTGTCGTACATGAGGTGCTCCGACAGGTTGGGAGGGGACGATGGGAAGATCCAGGAGTCCATGATACTTAGCTGTCTCATGGGGATTATGGCATCTCACCTGCACACATAAAGATTTATTAAAGCTATCTTTTTATTATAAGTGATTTTTACAATCCTGACAGTTATGGTCAAGTTGACAGAGAATAAGAGCATCATTCCACTTGATATATTCTGGTATTGATTTTATGATGTCCAGAAGATGAAAAGAGAGAACCATAGTCGTTACCCTCATCAGATATTGAATGTGATCTGCTGAAGGGATTGAACTCGGCCAGACATTGTTTGTGTGTTTATTAGGCCAGGTATACTGCTACCCAGGGAAATCACTCTGCACACCCTCTAAGCTCTCCCTGAGGGAACGCTTGCCCTTTAAATGTTGCTACATGATCAGCTGCAACGAATTACACTGAATTATTTGCTAGCACAGAATGTATTTATTAGGGGGTGGGCATGGATGTAAATTAATCCCAGCCTAAGTAATTGAATGATTGGAGTCATAGTACTGCCAATAGCCGTGCTGCAGTCAGATTGAAGTGCTTGTCACTGCCAATGCACATGAGGCAAACATGGTATGACAACTTAGTTTGGTGCCAATGAACATGAGAGGTTTTATGAGGCCAGTTCATCATTTTCACCATGGCAGCAGAATAGGGTGGGCACCATTCGGAGTCTTGTTTTTGGTGACTACTTTTCAGCAAAGGGGATGATTGAGCTCAGTGAAAAGCTTCAGTAGTGGAATATTATATCATTTGGAAATGCATTGGGAGAAACAGCTTTAGTTTGTGTTGCATAAGATAAACAAGATTGTTTATCATTCCTACAGAAAAAGAGCACAACAGACCAGTGAAATAAAACATCAAACCCTCTGTATAGGAGCTCTGTTGTTGAGGTGAACAATACATAAAATGGGTGGAGTCATAAGTAATATTTTTGTCTCTCTTATGCCATATTATTTCGTGAACTACTGTATTTGAAGAATTTCTAACACTGGTATTCAGGTATGCTTTCATTAAAACCAGACCAAAGCAGCCCAAAGCTGTCAAAAGAAAGATTAAAATGTGTTTTGCCATCAGAACAACAGGTGGAATACCATTTTAATTAAGTGGCATTTTAAGGTCTTCGTCTTTTCATCTGGTATTTTATTCTTTACTGCGTAAGGACATTCATTATGCTCTAACTTTTGGATTTAGTGGCTGAAAAGTAGAGGATTGGAAGACAGATATTCAGCCAATCAATGATTACCTGCTCATAGCTAATTATGCAGAAATAAAGTGGGAATGACGTTAAATCGGGATTTTCATTTACAATGTTAGCAAACTCTGCACAGACCCAGCTGAGGGTTTGGTGGCAAAATATCACATTTGGGTCAATATTCATGCCAGAACCGGTTAACAATAACGTGTCACACTGAGAAAGGATTAGACACCACAGTGAATATTGGAGCAAGAGCTTTACATTTTGAACATGCTCAATTTGGACAATTTCTTCAACTTAATTTGAACGGAATAATCAGATTAACCTGTTGATGTACAATTTTCTCACATCGAGACAATTCACAAATGACTACTGCGAATCAACAAAAGTATCATCTTACCTGCAACTGGATTCAATTTCACTATCTACAAAATGCGCCCCTTCTGAGATGAAAGTATTTCTCATTCATCTCCACATATTCCTCACATTTGTCTCACCGAAGTGAGAAATCTCTCTGCAATGGGATTTTTTTTTTTCTTTGGATAATCCCGAGATTACGAGGAGAAAAATACGGAAAGGGGTTGGACAAGTGAATGAAACAGCCCTGCACAAAGCTCCGATGATGCGCTCGTGGTGGGATACGCGCTGTGACTGCCTCCGGCTGGAGAGCTGCGCGCGGGTTAAAGGACGCACACAAAGAGCACCGAGGAGGTGCTGAGGAGACTCACCTCGGAACCTGAGGGATGATATCCAGTGCTGCATACAGGTGGAGCCAAATATAATTAAGCCTACACTGTAATGCCATCGAATTCATTCAGCGCTTGTTGAACATATGGTTAAAATGAAGTTGGCACCAAAAGTCGTAACGCTGTCCACAAAGGAAAATGTCAGGTTGACTTTCTTTCCAATGCTTGTGACGTGTTTTGTTTTCTCTAAATTCGAACTGCCTTCACACAAGAAAGTCGGCGTTAATGGCTGAATAAATTGATAGAGCCCAATTTAAGCGCCACGAAAATCCCACGCAATGCAGCAGATTGTTTTAATGGTAGCCTCATCAATAAGATACAAGTGTTATAGTATGTAGGTTAATGTGTGCAGGAGGGAAGGGAACCTCTGTTTAACGCTCCCCCCCCCCCTCCCTTGTTGTAGGTTGCAGTATGTTCTCTCCACATTAGTTGCACTTCCTGTTGATTTAACTGATGTGCTCCAAACAATTAATTATGACGCCAAGTGAACCAAAGGTCTCCTAAACATCCCTTCAACATACGGTGGGTGATTACAGAGGCCAGGTCCTCTCTCAGCACTTCAGCTCTTTGATAGAAATCCATCCAAAACCTGGTCCAACCTGCTGCTCAGGTAAGGGACATTGAATTATCCTTCAAGCTGGTATAGTGGCGATGTGGATGTTATTGTCAAGTGCAAGCTGGGTTTACTGGGCTTTTGGTAGTAATGAGAAAGTTGTAATGTATCCTGTTGTTTCTCCTTATAAGGACCGTCACGCATCTGTTGTGTGTGAGTGTTTGAGCGGCTCATCAGGAGGTTGTTAATTGAAGAGATTGTTTTTGTGGCTCAACAAACTGCTCAGCATTTTGTTTCTGACAACTGTGTTCTTAAGCTCTCGGCAGCACCTGTCAACGAAGTGGTTAAAAGAAATAACAAATAGTATACGCTGCAAGGGAAATGTTTGGGGCATTGGTCAATATGATGGCACACGATCAGGGTGCTGCTGCTGCTTCAGGGCTGTAAAGAGGTGCCTATACAGGTGTGTCGTGGGGCTGCTACTGCACACTGTTGTCTTGAATACTTCAGCTGGTTCTAAGAATAATCTGCCGTAGTTGTTGGCCTGCAATGTTGTGGACTAATAACTAAGCCAGGTATCATCTTCTGGAACCTGAAGTGATGACTTAAACTTCTGTACTCTTTGGCTTCTGTGGTTTTACAAGTAATGTCTTCAGTATATGTAACATGTATGTGTGTTGGGTATCGGTTTATGTCATTGCTATTCTGTATGCTGTAACCCACGACCACAGATTTTTAGTTTTGCAGTGTGAGAATGACTCGCGTGTATATAAGTTGAGCTGAACGGTGTCAAAATGAACAGTGCAGGCCCGCCCGTATTGAAGCATTACTGCTAAGAGATTTCATCGACCCACAACGTTTCAGATAGCAACGTCTGCAGTGGCCTTTTCATGTCATCTTATGACTAAATGTCAGCTCATCTGAGCTGGAAGTCGCATCTAGCTGTCACTGCAAACTCCTCTGCAATATCAAAGGTGAAAAAGGGTCAGTGGCATCAAAAACATACTTCTCAGGCGAGCAATTGCATTTTTGTTTGAATTTTTCTTTAGCTGTTCCGGAGACTGAATGTGCTTGAGTATTGTGTTGTCAATAGATTTCTGTTACTTCTTTTCGTCTTTTAAAATTCCCTTGAGCCCACTAAACACCGAGTGATTCCACATTATTCTTTGGCCAAAAAGTAATTAAGTGAGAGCTGGAAAATGAGCAGATCTTAACTGTTCGAGAGAGACAACAGTAGGTTCTCTCTCTCGTAACGGTCACAGAGGAAATCAAACCCATTATAGAGGCATTCATTTCTCAGGATCTTTCATGCCACCAGGAACAATAATCCATTAACTTCATTTCGTGTTAATTCCGATACGGGTTAACTAAAGCCATATACAACAAATGCTGCTCTGAAATGTTAACATCTGTTAAACATAACTTAGTTTTGATGTACCGTCTGAAGATAAAAAAAAAGGCTTATTAATGACCCTCCAGGTATTTGTTTATCAGTATTCTCCCAGACTGAAACAAACATGCCGATACGTATCGGCATTGAATGATGCTCGTGGGTGGAATCCTGGGATGTTTAGTTCTGTGTCACTTTGACTGATAGCCGTGATGTAATGCAGCAGAGAGCTTGGAGCTCGGCTCTATATTTGCTCTTAATTATTGAGGCATGACCAATCACCTCAGGCCCTGAATTGGACGCATTGATTATACATCCAGCCAGGGTAAATTGACAAACAATTAGCAGCCCCGGGGGGCATGCTGCAAACTATTCGGTGCATATACCACTAATGCTTTTGGGATCTTTTGTAATGGTTCTGCTGTGAGAGAAACACATTAGCCAGGCGCTCTGGAAGTTATTGCTGCAATTTGTTTTCACAGAACGAAGGTAGTCAACCTTTTTCTCATTCTCAGATTCATTAAGAGAGGGATAAGACGTGGAGTTGTTGGCTTTAGATTTTAATGGGGCAAAGCCATATGTCTGTGTTGGTCTTGCTTTGTGCCTTCATGGATATAGGCGTACATTTCATAATGTATGTCCCATGCTGCTGTGGATCTAGAGGTTGTCCTTCTTTTGCTACATATTCATGTCTTTCTCAAGGGCCTGTTAGTCGGGGCTCCCTCCAGCCACTGTTATTCAACTACATCTTCAGTGTTTTCTCCTCCCATCTGTTCCTATCAGGTGTGTGA